AATACAGTAGAGCGTCGTTTATCCGAATCAATTGGGGACTGGGGTGGTTCGGATAACTTATTTTTCGGATAACGAATCATGTACGAAAAAATATATTAATTTATCCCATGTTGAAATTTCTCTCCGTTGCGTGTCGCTTCGCGTTGAATTTTCGTCGATGTTAAGCCTGACGAAGACTATTGTATCGTTAAAAATTATTTTTTTTATTTTGTACAAACAAAATAAATATATTGAAAAATATAAAAACAATAAAAAATTATAATTCAGATGTTAATTTAGTATCAAAAACGTAAAATATTTGAGTAACTCGAGAAATAGCCGAAGATTGCAGCACCACAGCACTACGAAAATTTAAATTTGCCGACTGGAATGCTTTCGGATAACGGACGTTTAGGATAACCAGCTTTCGAATAAACGACGCTCTACCGTATATAACAATTATACACATCTATAATAATGTAAAAATCCTAATAAAATCTTTATTGTATTGTGCATTAGTTTTACTGAGGAAACTTCAACAAAAGACCAAAACTCATTATTTAATTTTAAGTTTCTATTGACTTCAAGTTATTCTGTAACGCTGCTTTACTTTATTGAAAATTTGCGTAAGTTTCAAAAGAAGAAAGATATGCTAAAGCAATTTGATGACAGTAAATATATTGTCCCTGAAAAGTAAAAAGCACTTTAATATTCATGGAATAATTTATTAATTGTATTTTAAAATAGAAGTTTCTAATTACCACGTCTTCAATGAATTGAGGTAGATTAGCACGGANTATGTAAGTGGATAATCAAATTACAAGTAGATTATATTAAGCTTTTATAAAATTGTTAAAAATTTATATATTTTTTAAAAAAATATGTACTTAACATACCTTTATTTTTATAGGGAACAATCAGAGTTCCGGCTCCTTGCCGATACGCGCATAAGCTGGCCTTCCTTTCGGGGCAGTCGCTTCATAAAAATCACGCCGAACAGTTGGCAGACACATTGTTTTACTTGTGAACGTTGTGTTAGAGGATTATTGATGTATACATGATTAACTTTTCGAGAAAAATGTAGTTTCATCTTATTTCGAACATTTGACAATGCCCGCTATTACGTTATTGTTATTTGCGTTATTACAAAGCCAAAATTTTCCTTTTACTTAACTTTGAGAACGGCATTCAACATCCTATATATACCAGTCAAAGTTGAATTTAAAACTTCACAACCCGTCATTTTAAAAATTCTATTAATATGAAAAATTTCGTTAAAATCGTTACAATCATTTACTTATGGCAACGTGTTTCTGCATTTTTTAATTTGAGTGGCCGCCACGAGAATGCGTGCCCGTTTCATTTTCGTACGAATATGATATTCCATATAATTAACAAGATGTACGGCTTCACGGTAATATATTAAAAGTCTAATATTAAATATTTCGTTACATAAACACTGTAATGTAAATGAAAAAAAATTAGAATACAAAAGTCTTTTAAACTGGCAAATTGCCCTGGAAATTATGTTGTAGTTTGAATGCTTGGATTTGTACAATTTAAAATCCCTATAATTTATTATCACTTTATTTAAGTCAAATGCGCATAATAGTAATATTAGAAAAAAATAAATAATAAAAACCAATTAACAAACAAGTAAGTTACACTATTTATTAAACTGCATCCACATGTTCGGTATTCGGCAAAGTATTTGTCTATTTGTCCAAGTGTTGATTACTTGTTCAGCATACACATACAGTACATACGAGTATCTGCCGATCATCTGCTTAGAATAAAAAATGTTCGTACGAGATATATAAAATCGACAATTATCAACCAATAATTTGCGCTGCTACTTGCACTTATGAGCATTTCATATCTGTCAATGGAATATAAAAAATACTTTTACATAGATAAGTGTCGGACGCATTGCAGTTACTAAAAGAAAATCGTAAATAAAGCAATAGAAATTCAAACCGAACGTTAAAACTCAAGCAACCAGTTGCTTAACTTTCCCAGCAACATTAATAACTGCGTTAGGCGCCATCTGTTATGTTATGTTATATTNTAATATATAATAACGTGTTATATTTTGGACCTTTTTCTTTGGCAATTGTATACATTTTATATGAAAACCGAGTAGTCTTTATCGAACTGTCTGCCATATAATCATAGTATTTCTCTTAATAAGAGGTAAATATTAATTAAGTAGTCAAAAATTTTAAATAGTTTTATTAAATTTGGATTCGTATAATTTTCGTTCTGTAGCATATCAGAAAAATACTAAAATAAAATAGAAAATATTTTGTATCCAACATATCATTTTAACTGAATCATCTATGTTCGGAACATTTTAAGTAATACAGGTAAATTCGAACAACAGATCGTTAACAACAGTTTAATTTGCGTAAACTTAAATGTGAGAAATTATCAATGTGATAAATAAATAAAATACAATAAACAGTGAAAATTAGTATTACTGTAAACCAAATTGAATAAAAATAATCACAATACATTTTACTCTCATACTTTTTATTTATAAAAATAAGAATTACAATTTACGAGTAAAATTCAAATTCTTTGGATACAGTTTTTAAATGCACTCATCTAGATTATATGATATAGATCTATGTTTATATATATTTGTAATAAAAATTACCCCAACGTTCAGGTTATTTTATATCATACAACATACATCTTTTTTCTACATACATTCTTATACCTGATATTGGGGTCAATATAACATCCCATGAAGTAATAATTTTATCCTGACAATCCAAAGAGTAAACTTTAAAATTACGAAGAAGATTTGCCAAAACCATTTTCATTTTAATCATGGCGAGTTTATTTCCTGTAAATTCGAATAATTTTAATAAAATCATTTTATTGTTTTTGTAATTATTCNTAACCAATGAAGCCACATGCATTTTATCTGTAGTATAATTAAAGATATAAAATGATTTTTTAAAATAAAATCTATTAACAGTCGGTAAGGTTTCGTAATTTGCCGCTGGACTTTTTATAATGGCAAATATTATTGCGTAATTATAAAATTCATTAGTTCTGTTATTAATGTAGTAAAAATTGCGGCAATATTGCTGTTAATAAAGATTTCGTCGATTTTTACACAATTCTCCAGTTATTTAAAGCATAAGTAACACGTTTATCACGTACAAACATAAATAATCGGGCACAGCTAACAGAATAAGGTGATGTGCTTTTTAGAACCATGATTACAAGAAACAATCTCAAAAAAGTATAAATATAAAAACTGGGCAATTGACAGAATGGAGGCATATTGTGCTAAGACTGTGCCAATTATTCAGAAGCCCACGAGTTTAACATGAAAGACTCACTACCGACACAAAGTTATTGTTCAGGTAACGTTAAAGGATTTTGTGATACTATTAGAAAAGAGAAGAAAATGTAAGATGACTTCTTTTATTCTAGTATGGCTACGACTCAAAAAACCAAACAAGATTTACAAACAAAAAAAACCACCTGTAAATACTTGGAAAAGGAATTACACATGATTTCCCACAAACATTGAATTAATAAGAAGAATGACTGGTGTAATATTAAGTGAAATTGAGAGTATTAATCAAAGTATTTATAACAAGAATACACGAGAAGTACCGGCACTCGAAAGCTGTAATTTCAATTATCAGAATCCAACGTATATTCCTGTATTTATTGATTATTTAATATGCTTTTGTATTAAACGGAGTAAATGTGCATAAGACAACCGACAAAAATTTGTTTTAAGTCATTGTAATGTTCCGAAGCTAATAGATTAAAAGAAATAGCAAAACGTCACTTCACGTGGTAGACGATCGACCAATAGAATGTTAATATTTAAACATTGGGCTTATAATTTTATAAATTCTTGCTATTTTAAAATAAAATATTCAAAAAAGAGACCAAAAAAGAGGTGGCCGGTTGTCCAAAAAACTTTTATGCGTACGCAGACATTTTTTAGATTTTCCGCTAGATTGGTGTCGCGAAAATCCCCCTCGTTGTAAATCAAGTCGAAACTGCGGAATTTAGAATTGCAAAACGATCCAAAGAATTTATTTAAAGTTCAGCATTTCTGTACTGCTCATCGCGGACACTAAGTATAAATAGTTTAAATTTCAACCAAATTTCAACCTTCTATATGTAAATAGCATGTGCCAAGTTTATGGAAAAAAAATTGAATAAGTACATGGATCGCAGTAAGGATTTAGAAGAGCCGCAGTTTGGCTACCGTGANCCTATTTTCATTTCTGAAGGAGTTTTTCTTGCAATAAAAGGTAAAGGAGGATAGATTCTCATCGACTCCTGAAAATTGTAATATGTAGGCTTAAAACTAATCCTTGAATGAATAAAAGAAATTAAGAAGTTACCTTAATTACGCATTCTAAGTACGTCATTTTCGTCAAGTCATCGATAGTAATATCTTTATTCATATCACTTTTGAAAATTTCTTGCAATTCTAGATATACTTTCTTTTGTATTTCGTGGAATCTTCCCAGGAAATAGAGAGTCCATGACATGGCGTGGGCGGTTGTATCGTAACCCTGATATTAAAATACGTTGAAAAGACATATAAAATTGCTTTCTATATAATTTACATTTGCAGTAAAATAAATACTGTATAATAAACTGGTAAAATTAAAATATGGCAGGCATGAATGCCGCGCTTCTTTCATATTGATAACATACAACTTTATAATCCATAACCACATTTCTTGCAGCAAGCAGTTCACATAATTCTTCGTAATATTTACGACAAAATATCAATAATCCGATTTCGATAGTTTACTGTACAGTAAATAGCAGCATAGATGAAAATTCGATGTAAATGGAGAGAGATTACAAAAAAAGTTACTAAAATTTCTAAAAGATTCATTATAACAATTCTGTTTATAATTTTAACANTCCAGAACGAATTAATCAAATTCTCATAAAAACCTATGATAAATCGATACTCGGTTAACGAACAATTCGGATAGCGAACAAAGTCTTGGAACGGATTATGTTCGTTAACCGATTACCTATTGTATTTATAATATACCGTGAGTAATTGTTTATTTAAATTTTAATTATTTTAAGTACAAGCAATTTGCGAGTAAACATAAAAAATTATTTATTTTACTTATTTGTAATAATTTTTATTTAGTTAATAAGCCTATTAAAGCCTGCAATTCTATCAGAAAACATGCATGCAGCCAGTCGAAAATCTGGCTGAGTGCTGCAAGTAAGCTTGCAGCTTTTAGCCAGGAAACGTTGCTCATCACTTTTCTAGATTATGTTACTTCACTTTTCGTATTTATCAATCCAATCCTACATCCGATTACGAAGTGGATTATCCAATTCTCGAATTAAAGTGAAAATACATACTACAAGTTCCTTCAATTTGTTTGAATGCGCCATGACGTGCTGCTGTTCGATTTGTCACGCTCAAACTACTCAAATGATTTCAAAATTTAGTAGATAATGAATTTTCGCGATAAAATATACTATACTAACTTCGAGAAAGAAGTATTGTTATAATTGGTAGCAAAATATAAAAATTTATTAGAAAATAAACAAATATAGGTGAAAATATATATATCGTTTTGTTATAAAATGTTAAAAACGAAAGCAAATAAAGATCGAACGGAAAAGAAAACAAAGAATTTATTTAAAACTGGAAATCCTGTAATGATGTAATCGTTTATGTAAATCACCTATATTAATCATAACGATTGCAATTGATTTTGGAAACATCAGAATAAAAAACAATCTATAAATAAAAAACAATAGCTTTCCATTATCTCCCTGAACCACAGACTTTTTCATTTTTTTAAAATAACGCATCCACTATTTATATAACGATAATCGTGGCCCACATCCTACAGCGGGGCCCCAGACCAGGAGCATTGGCGAGCCATCCACCCACTCGAACCGAGACCTTAGTGGTGTGAGGTTAGAGACCCAACCACTCGGCTCCAGCGGCCACTTTGGTAAATGACAAAAAAAAAATATTATTTTCATTCACAAATTAAGCACGCATTTACAAAAGCGTAAATTAGATTTATCAGAGACAATAGAGGAATTACACCGACAAATTTTACAATGACTAACACGACATTAAAAAACAAAAACACAAGAACTGAAAGAACGGCAGAAATTGAAAAACAAAGCACATCAGCGAGACAAAATACAAGAAAATATCGATTAAATTATTTCGCAGTAAATTTTCTGGCTAACTGCAATAATTGTAAACGGAAAAATTCTGATAAAAGTTTTTTCAGCTTTCCTCATGACTCAGAAAGGGAATTTTTATATTTTTATGATTGTTATATTAAGTTAATAATAGTAGTTTAGAATATTAATTAAACTATTTCAAGAATTAAATACTCCAATTAAATTGAACTCAATATTTCACAAGAAAATCAAAATAATTTAGATTTGCAATTCGATTCTAGAAGAAATTGAGAAAAAAAAAATGTATATGCCTAATCCCGAAACTCTTGCAGAGTACTAAAATCAGTCTCTCTTGAAATATATACATTTAGCTTATAGGTAAATTCGGTTATTGCAGTTACTGATTTAATACTATAATCCCGATTATTGCTCCAAAAATCGAGTTATTGCGGCTTTCTGCATCAAATGAAAGTTTTCATTCAGTCTTTTTTACATCGAAATGTGTTGGATTCTAGGTTTTTTGTTTTTATTTTACAGTACAATGCATTTTGATAGCAAAGAAGAAATTCACATTAAAAGAACTTTATGAAATGTTTCGTGTCCGTGGATCTATTAAGCAAAAGGAAATGTTGAACATTCAATAAAAATGCGCCGAGGAACAGAAAATACAGTAATCGAGTCATATACCAAAAGAAGGAATTTTTAAAGGAAAAAGTCTCCTACATTCTTTTTCTGAAAAATAACTCTTATGTATTTTGTTTAATAATAATAATGTTTTAAAACTTAAAGCTGCATTTAATTTATTACCTTTTTCCTTAATACATTAAATATTAAAAATTACACTAGTTATTTATTTATGAGTGTATTAAACTACATGCATATATAAATAATTAGTGTAAGTTTTAATATTTAATGTTTTAATTATAATTTTAGAAAATTCTTGGAATAAATCTCCTATTTCCCATATGTTATTCTTCTCGATTATCGCGGTGTTTTTCCTGGAAACATTAAGGGATTTGTCTGTATTTAGAGACTAAAAGTGATGTCATTTCAATGAATTTGTTTAGTGATGGTTGTGATGATTCATCGATGTGACACAGGCTTTTAATTATATATNTGTAATAATATTTAAGCAGTAATCACAAATGTTAATGAAATTAATTATCAAATGTTTTTAACAATATTACAAATTAATTTAATTCAAATTTGTGATTTGTACCAGTCAATTTTTATTTAGAAAATTAATTTAGTGATCAGTGTGGGCTAAACATTTTATTACTGTAATATACCTCATGTGAAAAACATTACAGAAATTTCTGAAATTGCAATAATTTAAAATAAATAAAATTTAATTTAAAATCATAAATTTCTGTAAAAGTTTTTCTTGTTTATGTCTTTAAAAAATGCAAAAATGGAAATTTTGTAATTATTTCATATCGTAATTAATTTATTTTTGAGTAATGTTAGAAATAAGTTGATAGACTGTATATTTTTATATTGTGATTAAAAGTTTAAACGTTATGTTTTCGCTATCATAAAGACTTTTCCTATAGTACTGAGGCAACTGGAGAAAGACACAAAGATGGATGAATAGTAGTAATTTATTGCGATAACGATATGCTTTGCGGAAAGTTGACCTGTCAAACTTTTGTCGTTCAACTTACAAATTGTCTCTCCTGTGTACGAAATACGTGAAGTTTACGTTTAAAACATTATAGCTGATAAGTAAATTAATTTGAAAATCTATCATACGTACTGTACTTAATGAACACGTTGTATTCGTTTAGAATCTCGATACTTCTCTCTATCCATTGTTCTAACAACTTTTGATTACCATCAGCACGTATAGCAAACACACTTCATTTATAATATACAAACTTATAATATTCGGTTAATTGATAAACAATGAAAATTTGGATTATTTCGTATTGTTTCTACCGACATTAACACGAACATTACAAAACTTTCATCAGATAAAAAGTGACATTATATTATTTAACATAGATAATGAAGAAATATATCTGGAACGAAATTTTCCTTACCTGTGTATTGCAGACACATATTCTTGATCGTTCGTAGTCTGAGAATGTAGAGAAACTCCTACTGCTATGTCTACACAGAAATAATTTGATATTTATATTTTTTAGATAAATAAATATACTCCGTTTGAAAATAATGTTCGTTTTCGTGAACGTTTTCAGAACAGAGTACTTTTACTAAAAGAAAACAGTACTAAACGAAACAAAAAATAATTCGTGTAGTCGTGAAAAATTGGTTATACTCAGCTATAGTTTTAACTACTGTCGCTAGAAAAAGACAGTGTTAATAAAAACGGTAGTCACATAAAAAAAGTAAGTCATCCTGTGTGTTAAAATTTTACACGACTAAGACCGTAATTACCGGGAAACACGTAAGTGTTAGAAAAAGAAAACTTTTTAAATTTTTGCCTTTGTTCATTGTTAATTTCGATAAAAAAAATGTTCAGTAGCTTACTTTTTTTTGCAGTGACATATATATGTATATATACTATTTTTTAAAATTCATTTCATACTTTTTCGACGTAATGAGCAATAAGTATGCAAAATAAATATTTTATTTAATGTTTACGTATTACCAAATTGTTATTTATAATTCCTTATTAAATATTTATCATTAGAGAGTAATACCTGCAATTATATCGAGAGTGCAATATTTCATCCATTCCAAAATATCGAATATTTCATTCTTTTGCAATTGTTTGAGTTTTTCGACTAAGACGTTTGAATGCTCCATAAATACATTTTGATCATCTTTCAGTTTCCAAACCTGTACATGTGGAGCTAAATATTTTCTTCTTTTTCTCCAATTATCGTCAGAACTTTAATTAAATTCAGAAAAATGTAAATAACGATACTTAAAAAAATATATCAAATAATGTATTACCTGTACAGAAGACTGTTGTCTCCGAGAAGTGGCTTAAAGAAATCATACATAAAATTCTTATTGATTAAACTGTTGCTTCTTAACACTTCCTGTGAAAAGTAATACAGTATATTTCTATTCGAATTGAATTTATTACATAACTAGGCATGTTTGACTACCTTTGCAGATTCTGGATGTAAGAAAAAAATAAATTTATATCCAAATATGTTGAGGCAGGCAACTTTCTCGTTTGGATATAGCATAGAGACTCCAGTCAATAAATTTAATGTAACTGAAAAAATACGAAAAATACTTATGTATTTATAAACAGTGAAATTACCCAATAAAATATTTTGACATACATATCCCCATGTATGAATTGTGGTATTGCTGGTCACGTTGAAAAAATAGAACGTTCCACAAAACTGGTAAACAGGACATCGATGGAATATTAATTTTTAACTCCTGGCTATCGTCTTCATTTTCTGAAAAATTAATGTGTCTTAAAAATAAAAGTTGATAACGAGCAACCATTATTGCGACATTGTCAGAATGCAGAGCAGCTACTTTTTTCATAATTTTAATTTATATATTTTAAAATACAGTTAGATTTTACAAATTCGTGTTTCCGTCTGTGAACGGCTCACGTTATTGTAAAAACTAAGTTACTCGTACAAAACGGAATTCATATAAAACGGAATTATCAACCGTGTTATATGGGTGTCGACTGTATATGCCCTCCAATTCAAATTTGTGGTGCTTGCCCCTGTACATGATACTTTTCCTTTAACAACACAGCAGTGCCGATCATCTATATAATACCTTTCAAAAAAAAATATTTGAATTGAAATAATATAACTTCCGATTTTCACCGAACGTTCTTTTATAGTTGTTCAGGGCAAGATGTGCGTAGGAGTTTAACGGCTTATCTGGTTTATCGTATATCTCATCTCCTTGAAATTAAGGAAGGAGAGACAGACATTCAATCGACAGTAGGAATTTATAGGCCTACACTTATTTCGAATTGCAACTCAATATGTATCGCAACTATGTATCGTATATCATAAAAGTATTTTGTTTTCATTTTGTTATATTCGATTTATTCTTACAAGCAATATCTATTGTACAACAATTGTACAAATAAGTTTCATAACAATGTTAGAATATGCAAAATATATATTTTGGAAAAATTATTANGGAGACTGGAAAGAAGAATTTTTCATGGTTTTAAGGAGGATATCATGTATTTTAGCAGATACGTTGATGACCTACTTATATTATGGAGAAATAACAGCAGAATTAAGGATTTTTTGGATAAGATCAATGATAACAATGATGGCCTTACTTTAAGATTGGAGCAGAAGAGTTCCTTGAATCTGCATTTTCTCGACATCGATATTACATTCAAAAAAGGCCACCTGTCCACTAGCGTTTTTATTAAACCATCCCACAGCCCATTGTATATTCCCTCCCAATCCAAGGATCCGTATAAATATAAAATTGCAGCTTTCAGAGCTTTAATAAGAAGGGCATTTTTGTATTGTGAAAGAGTACAAGACAGGAGGAAAGAAATAAATAGAATAATACTGTATATTTACATTCGTAATGAATATATTACATAACTAGATATGTTTGATTACTTTTGCAGATTCCGGATGTAAGAAAAAAATTAATTTATATCCAAATATGTTGAGGCAGGCAACTTTCTCGTTTGGAAATAGCGTAGATAGTCCAGTGAATAAATTTAAAGTAACTGGAAAGATACGAAAAATATTTATGTATTTATAAACAGTCAAATTGCCCAATGAAATTTTATTGACATACGTATCCCGATGAATGAATTGTGGTATCGCTTGTCACGTTGAGAAAATACAATGTTCCACAAAANGAGATATTATCGCGTGTTAATATCATAAGCAAATTATGGCAATCTTTACAAGTCCATTTAAGCCTTGCTCTTGAACATTTGCATACATTTTGTGACTGGATTAAAGAATATCGACAAACTGGATTCGAAAAATGCTTGTTTGACGCTCGTCAATTTATTGAGAATAGCATTTACGAACTGCCAAAAGACTTTAAAGACGAAAGGGTAGACAAAAGGAAAATGATGTTCGATGATGACGGCAGCGATCAACCTATACAGTCTCCCAAAAGCAGGTATGAAACAGATTTTTTTAACACCACGATTGATTCTATAATAAGCAAAATGGATTCGGGATTTATGTCTTTAAATCAACATTTTGAAAATTTTGGTTTTCTCTGTGATCTAAGCGAGTTAAATATTCCAAAAAAGCAAATATTAAAACACTGTCAAGATTTACACTCAGTCCTGCGAGTAAGTGAGAGCAGTGACTTACAAACTTACGAATTATATGAAAAATTACAAACAATGATCCCAAATTTACCCAGCTTCATTAAAGATGTGAAACAGCTGCGCCAATACATAACAGAAAATAACTTGAAAGAAATTTGCCCAAATATTTATATTTCCGTTCGAATTTTGCTAACAATACCGGTAAGTACTGCCTACGCTGAAAGGAACTTTTCAAAATTAAAAGTAATAAAAAATTATTTAAGAAATACAATGAGTCAGAAAAGACTTTCAGCTTTGGCAGTTATATCTATTGAAGCATATATAGAATCTAAGCTGAATTACGTTACAATTATTAAGGAATTCAGTAAGGCTAAAAGCAGAAAATTTTTTACTCTAATTTTTTTTTTAATTTTTTTAATGTTAGTTAAAGAATATAGTTTGCATTTTTATGAATAAAAATTTAACAGTTTCAACTACTTTTTATTTTATAAAATCCGTCTTCTAACGCCACCAGAGGGCCTCGCGAAATGTACCTTGCCCACATCAAATTTACGTTTTGTCCCGCCTCTGTGGCTGAGTTATATTAATACTATAGAGCTCTGTAGCGCTGTCGAATCACTTCTTTCGTGNAATATTAAAAAACTGTCAAGATTTACACTCAGTCCTGCGAGTGAGTGAGAGCAGTGACTTACAAACTTACGAATTATATGAAAAATTACAAACGATGATTTCAAATTTACCAACTTCATTAATGATGTGAAACAGCTGATCCAATACATAACAGAAAATAACGTGAAAAAAATTTACCCAAATATTTATATTTCCGTTCGAATTTTGCTAACAATACCGGTAAGTACTGCCTACGCTGAAAGGAACTTTTCAAAATTAAAAGTAATAAAAAATTATTTAAGAAATACAATGAGTCAGAAAAGACTTTCAGCTTTGGCAGTTATATCTATTGAAGCATATATAGAATCTAAGCTGAATTACGTTACAATTATTAAGGAATTCAGTAAGGCTAAAAGCAGAAAATTTTTTACTCTAATTTTTTTTTTAATTTTTTTAATGTTAGTTAAAGAATATAGTTTGCATTTTTATGAATAAAAATTTAACAGTTTCAACTACTTTTTATTTTATAAAATCCGTCTTCTAACGCCACCAGAGGGCCTCGCGAAATGTACCTTGCCCACATCAAATTTACGTTTTGTCCCGCCTCTGTGGCTGAGTTATATTAATACTATAGAGCTCTGTAGCGCTGTCGAATCACTTCTTTCGTGTTAAATTAATGATATTTTAAAAATTCAAAAAAAAACGAAAACTATTCAATTATTGGCTTTCTTCAAAAACAACTAAAATAAAAGATGTAACAACAATGTTTTTAATAAATGGTTTCAGCAATCGCATAATAAACAACTAGATCAATAATAGAAAAACCAATAAACAGAAACATGAAAGCAATTCATGAATTTTTTTTAAATTTCGTACGAACAAAATATCTTTGAAAATATCAAATTTAAATCAAACAAATATGTTTTAATTTTAGTGCCCTAAAAATCCTTGAATAGGAAGATAAACGCTGATGGTAATGATAATAATATATGAGACCAAGGAAACGTAATTTACAAACTCGGTTTAACGAACAAATATTCGCGGTTAAATATCATAATAGTCGTTCGGCTGTTGCAGTTTATTGTAACAGTGAAGGTTGCCAAATTCTTACGGTTGAAATTGTTAATAAAGAATCCTGTATACAAAAAAGATGATGATATGAACGGTTAGAAATACTAAAAAAAAAAGATAGAATTATGAATAACAATACAGGTCAAAAATTACATGAAACATGGTATCCATATCATCGTGTTACGATTTTACTGTAAATAAGTACAGTGAAAACTGCTTAGGCGACCACCTGCGTTCGAAGGGCACCTGTCAAAACGGGCAAAAATTTCTGGCACGGAATAGTTTATCCATAGAGTCTTCGTATAAGTTACCTGTATTAAACGACCACCTGTGTAACGCGACCGCGGGCATCGATTTTTGGTCCGAAACAACATACAACACCTGTAATAAGCGACCACTTTCGAGAATGTATCTGGTCTAAACTATAAACTATTTGTAAGAACCCATTTCAACAACGTTTCCATCTCCTAATATAATGAATTAGTCTAAACTCTCGTTCGAACCCATTCCGGGCACTTTTCCCACCCTCGAAATTAGGTGCAGGTGCTAATAAATTAGTCTAGCAACAAAGGAAATACACGTAACAAAGGAAATACACGTAATACACGTAACTGAGGAGCGAACGAAAAGAACCGAGTCGAATTAATTAAGTCGAAAAAAAGAAAGTGTGCGTTATAATCGAGAAAATGCGAGTATTGTATTAATCTTTTAATTATTGGTGTTAAACTTGCCTTATAATATGACTACTCCTGTAAATCGTGTTATCCGATAAGAATAAAACACAATATCGATATAGCCCTATCGTTGAAAAAATTCGCTTATTTTTGCTCTCCTCGAGTTTTGCTTAGTAGAAATGGCTAAAAAGTGCGCAAAATACGTACGGAAATATGGTATTACAGCACCACCTGTATTGGACGACCACCTGTCTAAAAGACCACTTTTTGAAGGAACCGTGGGTGGTCGCCATAGACAGGTTTTACTGTATATCATCTTATTGGTTTAATGGTACACTTATTTTTTACTTCATCATTTTATTTTATTGTTTTCACGGTAAAAC